CAGACAAGAAGCTGGCAACAAACAGGGGCTCAGAAGGCTCAAGTCCCTCCTGAATCTTGTTCTTTTGCAGATTTTAGTTGCTTCAAACCTAGAGCCAAGTTGAACAGGCTGCAGTTCTACAGTGTAAAGCCTGTATTTTTGGCCTAGAGTCCCAAATGAAAAACAATTGTGGACTCCACTGGATGTGAGAGTCACGCTCTCCCACTGACTCAGTTCACCGCATGGAAAAGTGTAAGAATTTCCTGGTTCTGGGAAGAGTGATTCCAAGAAGCTTCGCTCAGCGGTTGCTGATGGCAAGGGAAGTCATGGAGAAATACTATGCTCCGGCGTTTTCCTGGGCCCAGGATAAGTAGACTTACGAAAGACAGAAAGATAAAAGACTTTCTGCTTTAAGTAGATGATTCAGTATTAAATGTACAAAAAAATGTCTAAAATCTCAGGAATAAAACACGGTACTCCCTACACTTCCTAGTTATGCCGTAACCATGAGATAACTAATGCAAGCTCCACCTTGTCTTCTCTCTGTCTGTTACGCAAGAGTAGAAATCCAAACTATTGGTAACACACCTAGCTGGACGTTCTGTCACTTCATCGTTTGTTTCCTCGCAAATATTTGTTCTATTGTAGACTGTGAAATGATGTCAGTCTGAAAAGGATGGCAAATCAATTTCCGTGGTGCCTAGCTCATTCCCTAGAGCTAACTACTGTCCCTTCACAAAAATCTGCTGGCTCTGATGCCTTTCTTTATTTGTTTTTATGGCTTGTGTGCGCATTAAGATGACTTTCTAAAATATTTAGTCCTTTCTTGCTTAAAAAGAAGAAACTTTTTGCACATTAAAACCAACATGAAGTAGACTGGGACTTTGGTGCATGTTGATTTGCAACTCTCTTAAGACCTACAGCAACCCTCTTTTTTTTTTTTTTTTTTCCTGATTTGCTGCTTCTGTTTAAAACAGGAATTTTTCTTCCTCTCCTTGACTCTTGCAAGTGGGTGACATGTAGCTAGCTGGAAGGGAGGGATATTAGTTTTAGTCCTAGCTCCTACTCCAACATTATTACTCTCCTCCTCTTAATTAAGATTTCCTATTCATGGAATCCACCCAGTAGGCTCATGGTACCATATTTTAGCCCAGACTTCCTACTCAAATAGACTCATTCTCGCAATGAGGACAACCACAGTATAATATTCTGAGCAAAGGACGGTACGTACCTGAAACTCAGCATTCTCAACTGGCCTGTTACCTGGAACACCCTGCATTGCCACAGACAGATTGGCATGATCCCTCTTCATTTTTTCAATAGGAATACTGCAAATCACACTCTCCTTCCTTTGGCTGGTTTCCTTTACTATTGGATTGGAATCTTTCAGGAAAGCCTGTCATTTTGCATGGGCTCAGGTTTAGATGATGCAAAGATTAGTGATGCCAAGAATACGTTTTAGTTTAGAAAATCTGGCCAAATTCAGATATTGTCTGTGTGTACCAAAACCAGCCTGATTTTCAAAAGGTTTTGCAAGCACACAGCTTGACTTGAATAGGAAGCGGACTTTTAAGAGTTTCTGGAAAAACACCAGGCATCTTTTAGGCCTAAATATGGACTTTGGGTATGTGCCTTTTGGTTAACATGTCTTGAAGCAGAAGTTATCTGGGAGGTTATGTGAGAGCTACTGTTTTTCTCCTGAGAGCCTCACTAATCTTAAGTTTGGTTTCCTAAAGTGATTCTTTAGATCCCCTGCTATATCTCTTAATCTTTGTCCTCAGGATACATTTTCCCCAACACAGAGATCAGGGAAAATCTCTCTGACGTCCAGTTCTGCTTGCCAGTTTATTTATTCCCTGTCTGCTGTAGCATAGTTTAAGACCCCTCTTCCTAAACTGTGCTTGGACTCAGTTCTGTTTGAAAAGTCTGAGTAATTTTTCCCTTCCAGATGAAACAGCAGCTGCTTTTTCCTAATGTGTCTGTGCATGGACACTCTGAGGAAATGAGCTTTTTCTTTCTGCTGTTCAATTCTTGTGCCTTGTCCTTCTAGATTGCTGTCTAAGGACTATATTTCTTAGGTTACCTGAGCTGCATTTGTCTAAGCAAATATACAGTATATTTTGTATGCACGTTTATAGCATTAATTTTTACCACAAACATTTCAGGAAAGGAAGACCAAAGCAGATTCAAGTACCCCGAGTACATAGCTGAGCAGGTTGTTTCTCAGGAGGCAGGACATTTTCTGAAAAAGTGGCATAAGGGGATAATGAACTGTTCATTATTTGGGTAGACTTTTGCAAATTGATTCAACTGAACAAAGTGGCAGGAAAATTTGTGGAAAATATCAGAATATTTCCCATTCGGGAATGCCAAAACATTCTAAGAAACAGCATGCTTTGCTTCAGGGCAAACAAAATGTTTTGAGCTGACCATGTGCAAAAGCTCTTTTTATGTTTTACTTAATCTTCTCTTCAGAAAAGTCTGTTTCAGTTTAACTGAAGCCAGTTTTTCTCCTCTTGACTTTTGATTTGGCCACTGCACAGAAAGAAAGAGTCATTATTCTGTGAACTCTGCCTGTTTATACACACAGGCTGGCCTCACCACTAACCACCTGCGGTCTTTGAGGAAAGCCAGCAAAGAGCTGGAGATAAAACTTAAGCCCTGCAAGCTAAATTCTGCATTTCACCATTTAGAGAAAGAGGAAGAAAATAAATTGTCTTAAGTTTAATGGCTGTATTGCTGAAGCCCTAATGAATTCAGGGGTATGTGGAGCAAGTGTTCTTGCTGTGCTGGGCAGGACACAGTGGCAGAAGCAAAATGACTTTTTTTTTTTGAATTAGAAAAGGTAAAGCTGAGAAGATCAGGGAACAGCTTTTGCAGTGATGCCAGGCTTTAGTTTGTGTTGTGTTAAGAGTTAGGTTATGTAAAAATGAACCTGAGTACAGAGCCCTCCAGCCTTAAGTAGAAACAGATAGGGTGTGCAGCTACTCGGTCCATCTGTAGAGCAGATCATGTGCAAGTACAAAAATATTGATAATTAGCTTTTACAGAGGACTCTCTAATCCATTGCTCTTGAAGCGTTTTACAAGGAGGCCAGTCCTATGGAGCTAGTTCCATTTTAAGAAGGAGAAATAAAGCCACAGAATGATGGAAAAGCCTAGAACAACAGGGCAATGGCAGGAGGAAGAAGGAAGTTGAGGGTGCCCAATTCCAGTGGACAATTTTTTGGTCCATTTCCTCTCCTCCATCCACTAACACTTGGGGCAGTAGAAAAGAGGTGAGTATGCAGGAAACTGCTGTATTACTAGGACAGGAGTCAATCTGTATCTAAAGTTATGAGAGGTCCAGCATCAAGGATTGCTGTGTGATGGACAGCTTAATGATTTATTCTTTTTGGAGGACAGAGTAATCTAAGTTTCTGTGTGGTTAGTTCCTGATGTTGAGAGTTGTGTTCTGCAAATTCACTGAAATAACTTTGTTTCTTTCTCTGTTTAAAAACACTAATTTCATTACATAATACAACTAGAGCATATACGTTAGGAAAGCTTACAGAGGTCTGCTTTACAAACTAATTCAAAAAAAATGTCTGTTTTAGCTTTAACTATTGTTGTGAAAGAAATTCTGTACTTACAGATCCTGGCAGGGCTCTAGAGGAACCAAGACACCATGAAATCATCGCAGTAGCTTTGTCAGAGAAGATCAGAAAGAAAAGAGTTCAGGACAAGGCTTTCTGGAGCACCTTCACCTGGGTGACCAAAGGTCCCTTGAGAACATCTTTGCCACCACGGGTAGAGGAGGCTGCAGCTGGGTCAGCATGACACCCATGCCCCAGACCCCGTGTCCAGAGGAAGGGGGAGAGGCACTGTTACCCACTCTGCCTCACCAGAAACCTAGGCTTGGAGATCCTGTAGAAGGCACGGCAAAACAAACATTTGCCTCAGTCACATACAAGAATTCTTAAAAAAAAAAAAAAAAAAAAAAGGCAAAAGCAAAATTGTCAAGTCTGGCGGAGACAGGCTGCAAACTTAGCTATTTCCGTGCAAGTCAGGCTAGCCTATGGACTTCTTAGTTACCCACTGGTCAACCTAGAAATATTCTCAGTCAGGATTTGAGGACAGAAAGGTTCTCAAAAGCAGCGTGTCACTCAGTGTTTTACCGTACATCTACAGATGTGTGCTATGAAGGCAAGAACAAGTCAACATGTCAGCTCCAAGCTGCGAGCGCTCCACACTTCAATGGAAAAAAAAGCATTTCCAACAGTCGACGTCATTAGCAGTACTGCACAGTGCTCACACGAAGCGTTCTCTGGCTTTAGGCTAACGGGCTCGCATATTCTGGCAGACAGTTGTGTCAGAACAAGCTTTGCTGCCAATCAATTTCCGCTTGTAAACACTGGAATCTTACTGCATTTCAGGGGGCTGGGCTCCTTAGCACCAAAGCCCTTTGTTATGTGGGGAATAGAGGTGTTCAAGAGTACAAAATTAAAAAAGAATACTGTAGCCACTGACCTTACTTGGTTACTTTACCCAATGCTGCGCCCATGTGCCTGATTCTGGATGATTTCAGAAGGAATTGAAGCTCAAATACTGGCAAACGAGCCAAGACTTAGGCTCCTAAATTAGTTAGGCGCTTTGAAAATATTACACCTTAGCCATTAGACTACTTAATATAATTTTCACAAAGCTGCTCATAGCACACAGTGGGATTAAAGTAATTAAAGTATCATGGTACAGTGCATTGGCAGTAAGATATAGTCTCCCAGATCATGTTATTCATAAATAACTTAAGACGACTATAAAGTGAGTGATTACTAAATAGCAGTGGGACTTATATAGTCCAGATAATGGCCAGAATTACATTCCATCATTAAACAAAACATGCCTGCACTTACAAGGAGAAAAGACAAAGATAACACAACTAAAAAGTGTTTTCCAAGGGTTCAAATCACTAGTGTTGTTTTGTCACCTAACGGTGGTTGTTTTGCAGTGACAGATGCTTGTTGAGACATTTCTCTTCCATAGGTTTCTGGGGGCTTGTCAACAATGCAGGAATATCAACATTTGGTGAGACAGGGTGGCTGTCTATGGAGAAATATGAAAAATTTGCAGATGTGAATCTCCTTGGGAGCATCAGGACAACCCTGGCATTTCTTCCTCTTCTAAGGAAATACAAGGGTAATGCTAATCCACTGTTATTTAGAGTTGTAGAATAATTAGCTTACTATAATCAGGGTAATGTAGCATCTATAAAAGAAGCCTTAATTGTCTCTCATTGAACTGAAATGACAGCCTCCTCCTGCGTGGCCTGAAAGAGCAACTTGATCCTGAAAAGAGGGTAAAGTTGTAAGGGAAAAAAATACGCCTAAAGATTCTGTCTTTACAATACATAGAAAAAAGTATTTACAAATAATGAATACACTCAGTGTTTGACTCAAAACTGAGAGAAAAAAATGTTTACAGTAGATCATTAAGCCCAGGCAAGACTTTGTAAGCACTGACAATCAGTAAACACAAAGATCCAATAAACTCCTGCTTAACTTTATTATTTAGGCTTTACTATTTTACTGTTTGGCAATTAGGATGGAAGGATTAGGAGGAAGGATGACCCTACAGAGGAGAACTAGAGACATCCGCCTTCCAGTTCCAGGCCTAGCAAGATCCTCTCTATGACCTTGGGCGGGAAACTTCAAGTATGTGAAAGAGTGCCGTACAGAGATGCATGGGTATCCAATGGGATAGATGCATTTGCATGGACCTCCATACGCGTGGGCTTCATCCTTTTTTCTGAGAAGAAATGGTTCAAACAGCCCTCTACAGCATGGCAGCATGTCTCGAATGCTTTGCAGGTTGTTCCCTACCTGTCCCCATCTCTGTTTGGGAAAGATATTCTTTTCCTTTCCCACCTTTTGCTTAGCTTGTCTATTTAAGTTGTAAGCTCTTTAAGGTGAGGATTTGTTCTATGTGTATACAGCATCAAGCACAGTAAGGGCTAGGTTTCATCCGGAAGCCCCAGATGCCACTGTTACACAAAATGTTGGTAAGATAAAAGCATCCAATTTTTGGCTACTCTGCTGCTTTCTGCTTGGTTGCCTTCGGTTGATGATATTCTGATGCAAGAAAAAAGAAACCTTTAAATGCGGCAAGCTGGATGTGTTTTTGTAAAAGAATTGCTGTTGCATATACCCAGTGAGTGTTATGTGGCCGTTAGATGGGGAGACATCACTTTTTTTCTGTGCTGTCCTACTTACTACTAAAACTCTGTGACGCTGATCCACCAGAGGCATTTGTCTGACTTCATGAATTGCAAAGGGTTACTTTGAACTGAAAGGGACTAATTGTGTGTATGATATTAAGCACATGCACAAAATCTTAGAAGATTTGGGTCTGGATGGCTGCACGTACATACTACCTTATCTCAAAAGAGCTCTCTGCATCTCACTCCTGGCAGTCAATGCTGCCTTTATGAAGTGCCCACACTCCATTTTCAAGTCACATCTATGCAGGAGAGGAGGCCAGGGCACTTTTAGAAAGAATCTCAGGTTTCCTGTCTCCTTCCTTGCAGGAACAGCCAGGACAGCTATAGCTCATGTTTTTGGGGGCAGCACATGACCTCTCCAAATGAAAAACTTGAATTATGGATGTTAGAGCATTCTCCTGGGAAAGCTGGGTTTCAATTACCTCAGGCAAAGAGAGAAGTTAAATGACATGTCCCACATCTGGGCGTGTGCCCCAAATCACTTAGCTACTGGATGAAGGAGGCAGAGGTCATCCTACCATGCAACCACCCAGTAGCTGTGCTCTGAAGGAAGGGGCTGGCTGCCATTTTAGGATGAGCCTCTGTTCCAAGAAAACCTTCAAGATTATCAATACTTGTAAAGTGAGGTATTGCCCTCCAGCCTAGAACTACTCTGAGAGGAGCAACATTTCCCCATAACTTTTCCAGATGGCCAGGCCAGCTGATGTAGCATCTTGATCAACAAGCTGGTAGTTGTTCTGTTACTGTATGTAAGATTTATTCCAGACGCTGTGTAGGAAGGCAGGGAACCTAATTCAGAATGACAGGTTTCACTGCATTCCCATGATACCCTTTTGATATCCCACAAGCCTACAACATTTGGTCAGATCGGGGCCCAGACGTTATCTGCATCTGTGACAGCAACGGGAATGCAACTGTGTTCTCTGTATTGTTAGCAACGAGGCCATCTTCTCTCTCACCTCTGGTATTTATATATCCACATTCACACATTTCTTACTCTATGGTATGACTATGCGATAAAAGTTTACAAGTAAACAGTGGAAACGAACCACGGCGCAGTGCCTCAAATCAGAAATCTCTGCTATTTAATGCATGCCTGCACTTGGCAAGAGTTATGAAGGGGAAAAAAGCAGCACAGATCAGGGAAATCACAGCAAAGCAGTGTAAAGCTGCACACATTTTGTCAAGTCACCTTTCTCTGGTGAAGCTTATCACTGTACAGTCCAATTTTGACTTTATATGCACAGTTGTAAGCCAGGTCTCAGTGCAGAGACATCATCACCACAGAAAAAATGGTATTAGTATTCATATATCGACTGCAGGGAAAATCATCTGCTCCTCTCTTCCACTATTACTGGCATAGTCTTTTATTACTGTTTTTCAGTCTCAAGTTTTTAGGGGACTGCTTTGTTTCCATCTCTTTCATCCTGTCTCAGACTCAGAAGGATAAGCAGCACGTTGGCAATGTGTTACGCTTTGTCTTGTCCAGCATCTGTCCTTCCACTAGATGGAAGGAAGATTTTTGCATGAAGTTCTCTGCTTAACAAAGCTAAATGCACTTCTGTGCTGGGACTGCATGGTTACACAGCCCAGCTTTGGCATACTAGGTACTACACCAGAAAATGCTAAATAACACGTTATTAGCAGTTCAGAAGACTCAGGCAAATCAATTCTATGTTAAAGACTAAGAGTGAAGTTACTTTATTTGCACTATTTTCTTTCCAGGACGTATTGTTTTCATGTCCAGCATTATTGCCTATTTTGCTCTGGGAAATGGCATTTATTCTATGACCAAGGCAGCTATCGAAAAATTTTGTGATGCTCTAAGACTGGAAATGAAGAAGTTTGGTGTCCGGGTAAGTGACGTAACAAATAGCTGTTGTGTGAAACTCCCTGCTATTTCTAATGTTGATTTTCATAGGAGAGACATTTCACTCCTAAAACTTCCTACAGAACTGAAATGCATCTTTTTTTGTGGGGCAAAAAGCAAGCAACTTGCACAAGGCGTCAATGGTGTGAGAGTGGAAATTTTGGCAAGAACAAGCATATGGAAAATAATATCTAATCTTGTGTAAAGTAAGCTCCATGCATCTGAATTACAAAAATAAAGATCAGAGCTGAATCCATGGGTGCAGCTCCCCCTTGGAAAGAGGTGGTTTCTCTATGGCTAATCAGTCAGCTAGAAATCACTGAGAACAGCAGACCTGGGTGGTGGTTGCAGTTCTGAGAAGCTGTGGGACAGCACGTCTTCTCTTTGTGCCAACACTGCAACTTCCACCCTGCTCCACACCCTCTACAGTGGAGAAACTTTCCGAGTCAGGGCTGCCTGAGCAGCGCCGTGCTCTGTGAAGAGCTCATAACAATACCAGGTAGCGAAAACTTTCTCTGGGGTGGCAGCAGGCGCAAAGAGCCCAGGCATGAGTGCTGTGCAGCGAGAAGGAAGGCTTGTCACCTACCTGAGGGGTTCTTTCTCTTTTCTCACAACATCAGCGCTTAAAAGCTCCTTCCCTTTTGTGGGAACCGCTACACTGCAAGAGGCAGTATTGTGCAGAGTAATTATGTTTTTATTCTCTTAACCTAAGAGGCTCTATGAGTGCTCTTAGTGGCCTGTCTAAGCAACACTGATAGTCAAACCTGAAGCTTAGATCACTAAGTAGCTTCACTAGGCATTTTCCTTGGAGTTACTCTACTGCTGAAACACTCAAACACTGAAAGTCTTCCCTAGAGGATTTACATTGGTGTACTCTTTACGTACACAGATTTACAGCATTGTTCATAAGCTTTGTGTTAGAAGAAATTACAGCTATGCATCTATTATCTACCCCTCTTGGATAATATAAAATGCTATAAAATGCAAGTGATTTTACACATCCTAATACTACACAGCATGATGAGGATTTGAACCGATTAGCTGAGGATAATCTCAAATGCATGGAAGAGCTTAGTTTCACAGGTTAGCTACTCTGGTCGTTTGGGGATTTTTACTGTTCTGCCACCCCCGGAATAGCCCCAGCACACGATACAGTGAGCCAGGCTAACAAACATTTCCAAAATATCTATACGAGTTATTTTTCTGTTTCTCACTGCATGCAAGGCACTGGCTGGCATTTGCCTCAGAACCTACCCTGCAGAATACACAGTCCCTCTTCCCCATGCTCCCCTCCCCTGCTCTGCCGTTCCCTTTGCCTTTTCAGGAGAAAGTCACCCAGAGGTGGCAAGGAACAGATGGAGCTGTGGCTCTGTCGCAGTGAACTCTGGCCACGCAAGCTGGCTGCCTACAGGAAACAAAGTATGTGTCTTCCATTAGAAAGACTACAGAAAATCAAGGAAGGTGGGGGAAAAAAAAAAAAAGAAGTATCATCTCTCCTTCTCTCCTAGCTGACTCCAAAGAAGTCCAAAACATGGAGTTTTCAAAATCCTTTTGTTTACAATGAACATGGGACACTGACTAGTGGCGTTAGTTTGGCTAATACTAAACACTTTTGAAAATAGCACCCAAAGAGAGGGCTGCCAAAGATGCCCTGTGACAAACCTACCTGAGGCAGCAGAAGATGCCCCCGGCTATGCATGCTGTCTCTCTGCTGCAGCTTACCCGCACACCCCCCTGCTCCCCACATACAGCACCCTGTGGCACCCTTTGAGCAACCTGCTCTAGTAGGAGGTCTCCCTGCCCATGGCAGCGAGCTTGGAACTAGATGATCTTTAAGGTCCTTTCCAACTCTAACCATTCTGTGATTCTGTATTACCACAGACTTTCCACAGAGCGCCTGTCAGATCCCTAAGTCTCTTACACAGCTCAGCACCGTTTTTCCTCACCTTGTGTTGTAGTCTTTAGAAATCAGGTCAGTTAAATGCCACGGAGTTTTTAATGTTGCATATCTACAAAGAGTTTGAACAAGCCCACTGCTAACTGAGGAAAGCCACGCATACTGTAAGTGCTCAGCCTGCTCTGAAATCCCCCAGAAGCCTCAGAAGTTAGCAGAACAGTAGTAACAACACATGCAAAGAAAACAGGCGGAACGGCAAAGGATTTGTGTGCTTTCAAACTAAATCTACATCCACAGAAATCTATGGAAATTTGCTAATGACTTCAGTAAGAGCTAGACCAGGTCCTTCGATCCCCTCTGTACTTGGCTGACGACACCTACTTTCCTTTTCATTACATCTGCTTGGGGAAAACAGCAATTCTTTCCCCAGGACCTTCTAATTTTATTTGACATCTCCTTTTGTCCCAAATTGAGGCAAAAAATTACCAATTGCAAGATTCACCACTGAGTGAAAAATCCAAAGTATTCCACTTTGGAGACATCAAAGTCATACCAAAATCCTTTGTCTCAGTATTGTCAAAACATTTAGACCATTAAGCATTCTATAAAAATCAAAGATGCACTATTGCATTCTGTGAAGGTATGCTAAGTAGTCAAAACAAGAACATTAACATCAGAGCGAAATGAGGAAGTCAGAATAAAGCACCTCTACAATCTTAAATGTTTCACGGGAATATATTTGATTTCAGTCAAGTTTTCAAGGTTAAAATTTCAACAAAGCAGCATTTTCTGGAAGAAATCTGTCTGCAGAAAGCTTTTGATCTGTTTTACTGACTATAGTATTTAATTGAATTCAGAATGACTGATTGCATCTTGATAAGTTTTACATCTTGCTTTTAGGTCTGTATTATTCAGCCAGGAAATTATGCACGCTCTACAAAAATTCAGCCACCAGTCAGTGCCGAAGAGATTTGGAATGAACTCAGTGAAGAGGAAAAGGCAGTTTACAATAAGGAGTATGTTCAAGAGCGGGCAAACTTTTTCAACAGCATTCTCAGCGAAGGAAGCACTAACGGCAGTGAAGTTGTAGATGCTATGGTAGATGCTTTAACGTCTCCTGCACCCAAGGCACGTTACATGGTAGCAAAGCTGAAGGAAAAAGTACTGGTATTTGTCTGTGCTTTATTCCCGACTGTTGTGATGGATTCCGTTTTGTCTTACGCTCTGAGTAAAGTAAAACTTGCATAGCCTACGTTGGTACTGTTCAGTGACTCGGGCAGGGCAGTTTTTTAAAATGTGAAAGCCAGGGCTGAATCTAAAACTGCCAGAAATCAGTATATTGACACCAATTAACTCATGCAAACTTTGGAGGGTCTCCCTAGTCAGAACTGTCCTTTATTCATAGGGAAAAACATACATGACCCTATGTAAAATTAATACATTTGTCCAGCTAACTTTATTTCTCTCATGTGAAAAAAAAACCCCAAAAACATAGGGCCACTTAGGCTGCTTAAGGTATTACCTAGAAAATTCAGTGCAGCTTTTTCTAATGCAATACCAGGTTACTGTTACAGACATGACGGACACAAAATGGAGCATACCCTACAGGGCAACTGCACATCTGAAACCATCACAACAGACATGAAAATACCTTATTTGTAGGAACCTGAATAGTAATTTATTAGGGGTGATGGGAAGAGGTTAATGGAAAAGTTAGGAATGAGCAATAGACCTTGAAATACTTTGCATGGAGTTAAGGGGCTGTAGAAAGTTAGGAAGTAACAGGTAAAAAAGTTGTAATACGGAAACAGTGTCTTGCCTAACTACAGCTCAGTACTTTTTCAGGTGTTCTAGATAAATCTGTAACAAAGCCAGTATCTCATGGACTTTGGAAAACAAGTAGCATATTCCATTTACAAATGAATATTCAATCCTAAATAAACTCTCTATTTTATCTAATGTCTGGATTAATCAATGCATTAACCTAAAGTGTAGTCAGAGAGCTAAACACCAAGGTGACAGATATCAGGATGCAGTAGCAACCTGTACCTTAAAAAGAACATATTCAGCCTGGAGCTCTGATTTTGCTACTATTATAGGTAATACAGTCTGATGAAAAAAAAATATCTATTAACACAAACAGGAAAACTTTAGTAACATATATCTATGAGAGTAATTGAGCATAGTGACTTCATTAGCAGTCTACTACTAACTGTTGTGGAAAAGATTGCTGGTTTCCACATACACAGTTTTAAATTTGTCTTGGCTGTGGCATGGCACAAAATACAAGAATTCTGGGACCAAAAGAACCCAGAATAGCTGGGATCAGCTGTGGTGACACTGGTAGATACAGAGCAGCAGCATGAAGCATTAGCCTCCCCCATGCCAGGTCTCCCATATCAAACCAAAGACTCTGCTGTAAGTTGACCTAGTTAACTTTTTGGTCTGAACCAGAAATTGCATCCTATACCTGGGAAGGATTTTCTAATATATTTAATTAATTACTGAGAACAGTTACTCTCTCTGCTGGTGGGTAATTGGGCAGTGTGAGTCAGGAACACAGGCGAGATGAGCAAACAGACTGACTATTCCAGGTCCTCTCCTGATACACTCGGCAGTGGAACAGCCATCTTACTGCATCTGTTTTAGATTGTGGAACACCTTCCTTCTCTTCCCAAATGCTGGACCCATCCCTGGAGCTGGCATTGGCAAGAGGACAAGCCGGGGCTCCCACCTGTTCCACAGCCTGTCAACAGCAAGATTATCAGATGATTATCATCCACTCTCCTCATTTAACCACAACTGAGCAAGGCCAAGCAAGGGAATAGGAACAAGGCTTATTCCAACTGAACCAATTGATTTCTTGCATAGGAATTCCCCCTGCTTGACCTCAGGGATTTCAGCAGCCTTACATTGCTTTGGAAGAGTTGCTTTCATGCTCTTAGCCGTTCTTTGTGCAGATTACCCTTCCTTACAGTAAGCAGCACTGAACTCAACAAGCAGCTTTGAAATCCAGATGTTTCTCCATCAGGCCCAGACTGCGTGGTCTCCCTTCTGTTTGCATTTCTAAAAGCTACTGCGGTAAGTTCTTGCTGAGAGCCAGCACCACCAGGTCTGCCTCCCAGATACCGACAACATGAAATAACTTCCAACTGAAAATTCCTCCTTTGTTTGCTATGTATGTGGTGAAGCACGTGATCAATATTTCAGTAGCCTCATATAACATCAGATAAGCAACACGCCAGAACCTTTATTCCTTTATCTTGAAAGCTCAGAACTTGCAGTGTGTAGTTCCTCACATGGGATACAGTGAGAGGCCGGATGAGAACAGATGGGACAAATGAAGGCAGTTTGTATTTTCATGGCTGTCTAACCTGTCGGCATGGAAGCTAACTGAAAAACAGCTACAAAATTATTATCTTTTGTCTTCCCCCTCAGCTTTTTAATATTATGATCTGCATATAAAGAACTAATCAAGAGAGAGTCAGAGCTTCAGTTATTAACAGGCCTGATGTACTCCCACTGAAAGTCATCTGGAATCCTCCCACTTAGTTACATGTGTTCCAAGGCACAATGTTGGACAAGTACATGTAAAAAAAAAAAAAAAAAAAAAAAAAAGGAGGAAAGATTTTAGAAGCCCCGGGGTTAAA